TGAATACTTTTTGTTGTCTTAAGACGCGTGGACTAGTTTAGATAGGTATTGCGCCCGGTCAACTTTTTGCCATTTGAAAAGTGGATAATTTGGTCCATGGTAGAGGCAATGATTAGCTCGTGAAAAAGTTAGAGTGAGTACACCACAGTATCAGGCAGAGCTTTGCTAAATGGTACGGAAAGATAGTAGAAGGGCATTGACAACTGCTAATGCCAAACAAGTGTGAATCGAAGTATCTCTTGCAAAACGTGCATGCTAGAAGGATTGTAAACACAAATCTGATACCATGTTCATAGAATAACAAGAATGAATTGCTTTACTCGGGGTGGCGAGGCGCTTAAGTAAGCTCCTTGCATAAGTACATCAATGATACTAATTACTAACCTAAGATGTAAAGTCCCGATTACCACCTAAGAAATCGTGCTTAAGACAAACATGTTCACTGAGCTAATGTTGACTAGCCCTAGTTAGCTTGAACTCATAAGATCTTCCAACAGGATGATCGCCGAGCAAGGCCAGGGTAGCTACGGGCAATTTCACTCTATCATGGATTCTTCTTGTCTTTGCGGGTGTACCTGATCTTGAGCTTGTAGCGTAGATTGTGCATGAATCGTGTGAGTGACCAAGCACATGTGCACTTGATGGTGATATCACAGATTGAGTGTCTGATAGAGGAATGTGCAGGTCATGTGATAACTCACACTTGTCTCGTATCGGTGGACCATGAGTCTAATTTGAATACAGTACTAGAGTATGCGTACTCGACCGGTGAATTCTTCACGCGGGGTGACAAAGGAGAGGCCGTCAACCCAGAGACATAGGGTCCGGGTTGTTCTAGCGTGGAGTGTTGCAAAGGGGGAAACAAGGCTTCTCGCTAGAACAACCCCGACTGTATGTTCTCCGGGGCTGACTGTATAAGTACACCGTTCATTTGTCACCGTCACCCGGGTTTCGCGATTCGCACCCAATACGACTGTGGCCGGCCTTTTCATGTAGCATTTCTTGTGACGCACTTTCGTATTGGAGACGGCGGATCAGGCGAGGTCGGAGGTGATGTGATTTCTGCATTCTGAGTTACGATTGTGAGGAGAGTTGCGTTTGTATGGGGCCAGGGTTTTTACTGTGGTCACGGCTTTGAGAGAACTGGCGGGTTTCGAATTTTGTTTGGTTTCCTTCTTTCTCCTAGTGCTTTCTAAAAGCTCGATGTCAGCCTTGCTCTCCGTTTCTCTACCCGTCCCTTCCCAGCACTGAACCTTGCATTCTGTTTTCTCGTCCGTGTGGTCTCCGTTCCTCTTCCCGTCCCTTCCGAGCATTGAAGCTTGCACGCTGTTTTTCTCGTCCGTCATGTCTACATTTTACCTGCACTGGCTTTCGGGATCGTCAACCCGGAAGAGTTTTAGAAAAGCGCAATAGTCCCGACCCTGTCATAAGACGTGTATGTTTCCCATTATCCACCTTCCTAAATCCGTGCCCATGTCTACAATCAAATCAGTGTCGATGAATTGCTGTAGTAAGTGGTGATGGGTGACTTCCTGCAATTTACTGAAGTGGGCAGTGCCGAAGAAGAAGTTCCCTTGAAGTGCCATGGTGGAAACAGAAAACCTCTCTCGAATCTTCATGACACTTTTGTGTTTTGACTTTCTGGCAATCCATGGCAGACTGGATGATTTTGTTAAATTTGCGAAGCTGAAATGAAAGAACCTGAATTAAGAAAGAGCATGCTGAGTTCGTGGTACTCAGATTACAGACTATTCACAGTTTAAACCCCACCACATCATCAATCTTGCGACCAGAAACAGGTCTGCTGCCATTCTGCCAATTCTGCAGCACCTTGCCAGGCACGCCGATTCCAAGGAATTGCCAAGGTTCAGCGAGCTAAATGTCTCAAAATGTACTAAGGAAGACTTTCCCGTACCTGATCTCAGCGTGGGCATATGTAAGAACTTATGGAACTCTGTAACTGCAGCCTCGAGATCGATACTTCTTTAATAAACAGTTCTTTTGATTCTTTCAACTCCCAGAGTGAAACGTATTAAGCTACTGTGTCATTGAGAACAAGATCCGGACTAGTACGCGAACTGTGTTGATTCATGAATCTTTCTACTCAAAAGCTTTGATTTCCTTGTTTGGTTTCGTTGGATGGGTGATCTAACGAAGGAGGTTTCCAAAAATTTTAACAGTTGAATTTTAAGTCGCTTCTGTGTCCCGCACACGGAATTTTGTAGTAAAAGGCGAAAGATAGTTCGCTCTGGGCTGAACACACGGCTGATGAAAATACCAGCCGAAGGCTGTTGTGGCGCGCACATTGTTCCATGCTCCGACACGTGTCCATGTGTCGAATTTGAATTCCAGAGGGTCGCGTCAAGAAGTCACCCGTCTTGACGCGACGGTGTCAAAGGAGAAACCGTCACGATGGTGACCGTATGCCGTCGTCCCACAGTCATACGGTCGGGGTTGTTCTAGCCTGCAGTGGAACATGGATGGGTTTGGATCAGATATTCGAGAGCATGTGCACTCCTCTGAGCGTGGGCCATCTTGCCTTCCGGTCCAGCCGACAAACTCCTAGTCCCGTGGACCGAGCGGTCGGACTCCTAGTCTCGAAGGAGTCCGAGCGCTTGGGTGTCCTGGCGAGGGGACTCAGCAGGTGCGATGGGCCATCTTGCCTTCCGGTCCAGCCGACAGACTCTTAGTCCCGTAGATCGAGCGGTCGGGCTCCTAGTCTCGTAGGAGTCAGAGCGCTGGGATGACCTGGCGAGGGGACTCCGCAGGTGCGATGTGTTGGTTGTGGTTGCTGGACGAGCACAAAAGTCTCTCCTCGAGAGAAAGCTTTCGTCCTTCGTTGTCTCGAGGACTTGGCAAACGACTGCAAGGGCAGGAGGCGTGGCACACTACAAGCATTTCGAAGAGCTCGCTGGAACATGTGCGAGAGATGTTGATCAGGTCGCCTCAGTGCCTTCGGTTGGAAGCAAACCCCACTAAACGAATGACTGACGTCATTCACTTACATGTGCTTGGGATCGTGCCAGAAGCCTTGACATAACCTGAGATTGACCTTACCAGTTCGACCATATCCCCAGCTCCGACATGTCAGCATTTTGACAATTCTCCTCTCCGACCACCTGTCACAACAAAGACACCCAAACGTCTTTCGCTACAGACAAATCAATCCCCAATGACAAATCTCTTCAACATATCGGGTCTAACCATAGCTACCCGACGCCTATGACAACCACTTTCATGTCAGAATAACTCCCAGTTCTCTCTTCCACTGCTTTCTTCTCTTTCACTTCTTTGCTTATTTTCATGTGCATGTATGTAGCTCTCTGCAAGTAGAAATTCGGGAGAAACCTTGATCTGTCTATGTCTTGTGACAAAAGTGTAAATAGAAAATAGTAAATAAAATTCCAAACAAATCCAAATATGACTGTGGTGGCTAATACACGACCAACATGATCAGAATACCAATACAAGTGCTCAAAAACTTTTAGATGAGTTTGGTAGTGGGGGTTTGTGACATTTGGGGCCAGCCCCAGCCAACCCCTTTGCTTTTGTCTCTCGAGGAGAGCTCGGTGGGGGCTCCTCATCCTTTTTGCTATACTCGAGTGTGCAGATTGCGGCTGATTGTTGAAGACCCGAGATGAAACCGAGCATGCCCAAGAGGAGGTGACGATATTTCCCTGCGAAATGTGTTGACTCGGAGGGGGAAAGGACGAGCACGGATATATTCCGTTTGCAGACAAAGCCGTGAAAATTGCGGAGGTGAAGTTGCATATCTCCACAATCTGACTTGGTGCCCAATTTGCCATCCCCTCGAGCAGACAGGTCCCGTATAACCGGATTGTCAGCCATGGAGACAAAGCCTCAACTTTTTCCCCTTCTGCTTTTCTTCGCCCTCTTCTTATCCCTTCAGAATGAAGCATGCTCCTTGTCTAGCTGCATCTGTTGCATCGCTGACTTTCGGACCTACCATCGTCCAGTTGCTAAATGTGCATGCTTCCTTGTGTACGTTTCCATTCTTGGGGCCGCCGTTTAAAACATATTACCGTTCACAAAGACGCAGAAAAATAGGGGGTGAAACCTCAGAAGCAAGGTCCAATACCACGTATTTAGCGTCATTGATTTCCTCGCAACTGTTCCGTGAGAATACCATACATGCACAAACACAGACAGATTTATATATGTATGTTAATATTCATATTGATTTCTGGAAAACAGAAAATGAAATGCAGATGTCAGTAAGAGATACAAGGTCGTGAGCATACCTCTTCCACATTGCATGTGAGGAAAGTGGAAGGCCGAAAGGTGCATGTGCGGCTTCTTGTATGGTGCTCCTCTGCTCAGCTGCTACTATGAGCCTCTGCTTTTCCATATCCCAAAATCCTCATTCAGGGAAATGCGGAAGCTCAAAGTGTTTGTCGAATGCGGCGAAACTATGTCCACTCTGAAACGGCTGCTCGGTGAGAGCACACGCCGAGTCTGCATCTCACATGATTTGCGACTGGATGTGGCGATGTGGGGTTCCGGAGTTCCGACCGATCGCAAGGTTTTGAGAGCTTGTTCAAGGTAGATAGACCTGGTCTTCGTTCATGGTCGCCTGAGGTCGAACCACATCACATTCTTTATGTCTGCAAGTCACGTGAGATTCTCTTGCATTTGGCTGTGCTGAAATTTTCGAAACTCGATCACGTACTGATGATGACCATCAGATTCTGCGAACTTCATGCCAGAGAACTGCGTTGAGCATGCTTTGATCTGGCTCAGAGCATCATTTTGGACAAACGACGTCAAGCCATTCACGTGTCCGGAGGGACACGAGTCGAAAGTTGAAGCCCCCCATCGCTAAGACGGTCTCTACCTACTCTACGTGGGACCCAAACTTGACACGCACGAGATTTGATTCGCGAGTTTTCTTGTGTTTTAGCGATAGTTTCGGTATTCCGTCCAACTGTTCTGTGTCTGCGTTAACCATCTATCGTCGGCAAGATTCTGCCGAGTCGATGAGATGAACATAAAATACATTTTCAGGGTGACACTCCCTGATCAAAACAGCTCTTGAACACGGATATCAGATTTGTCTGACGCTGGGTCATAATTCGTGCATGCAAGCGAACAGCAGTATCATAGACAGTGGCGGAGCTACAGGGCCCAAGCCCAGGAAGGGTCCACAGATTGTGAGCTACAGATTTTGAAAATGCGGTCGAGAAAAAAATTTTCGCCTGCGGCGCTACAGAAATACCTGGAGGGGAGCCCAGCATTGCCAAGTACGATTGCCAAGTGCGACTGTGCGACCGTGCTTTGATTCGTCGAGGATCAAATGACGAGCACCTTTTGCTGGAGCGACACCAGATCGAGATCGGCAACCACTTGCGGCCCGCAAGTGGTTCCCAATCAAGTGCAAGATGCGGGACACCGAAGTGAACTCGTACACGATGCAATAGCGCAGTCGCGCCAGGTCTGAATTCTCTCTGCGGATGAATAAGGACAGAATTATGCTCGCGCAGAGGATCGGATCGTCGATGACTTAGAAGAAAAGGCAAGCTCGTTAGTTAAATTGAGATATATCGCAAGAGCGAGATGAGATGGCTCGATTTCCTGGAGCTGAGGCTCTCAGAAATCGCCTCGGGTCGGCCGCTCCGTACAAGTATGGAGCGCCAGAAATTTTCTTGGCTGGAGAGAGGTCGATGGAGTGGGACCCGAAGACCGGGCGATTGGACGTTCTGAGGGAGGGCTGACTCCTGTCGGGGGGCCTACGTTCGCTGCGGTTCTGGTAAGTCGCTGGTGTCAGTTCGAGTAAGTTGGTTCGTGCGCACGATTCTGCAGACTAGCTGCGCTTTGGATGTCGCCGGCGCCCCGATCGAATGCTGATAAGCTCCGCAGCTCGGAGCAATGTGCGCTTTGTGTGTGTGTCGCCGGACCGAGGCGCCAGGTCGGTCCGATTAGGAAGAGGACCTCCTCGTTAGGGTTTCGGCTCTGCAAAGTCAAATATTCGTGCCTTGGAAGCAGAATCAGGGGATTGGTCCGGGGTTCGGGGATTGGTCAGGGGGAGAGATCGAGCAGAGGGCGAAGAGGAAGACGTGAGCACGGCGGCGGGGAGGGAGCTGATGGACGAGTTCGGCTTGGCGCTGAGAGACCCAGCGAACCTGCGCAGAACGACGTCGGGTCGGTCCGATTAGGAAGAAGAGCTCCTCGTTAGGGATTAGGCTCTGCAAAGTGAAATCTGCGTGCCTCGGAAGCAAAAGCAGAGGATTGGCCCGGCGTTCATCGCGCCGCGAAACCGCAGGGGCGGGGAGAGATCGGGCGGAATGGGAAGCATGGCTTTAGCAGAGGGCGAAGAGGAAGACGTGAGCACGGCGGGGAGGGAGCTGATGGACGAGTTCAACTTGGCGCTGAGAGACCCAGCGAAGCTGAGCAAATTCGTGGCGAGGGGGGCGGACGTGCCGGAGGAGGTCTGGCGCAAGGCGCTGCTCTGGGCCTGCGCCGCGGGGCAGGTGGAGTTCGTGGCCGAGTTCCTCAACAACTCGCCGCTCAATAGCCTGGTGAACACGGCGGTCGACGACGACGAGTACACGGCGCTGCACCGGGCGGTGGTGGGCAAGCACCTGGAGGTGGCGCGGCTGCTGTCGCGCCTGGCCTTCAACCTGGTGCCGATGCTGCACGCCAAAACGCGGCGCGGGTGGACGGCGCTGCATCTGGCGGTGTGCGCCAACAACGTGGAGATGGTGGACCTGCTGCTCGCGTGGTACCAGAGAGACGACTTCTGCAATACTGAATACGACTTCGAAGACACATTCCTGATGACGCCGCTGCAGTACGCCGTGCTGGACCACAAGAGCGACGTGGTGCACCGGCTGGCGACATCCGAGACCTTCCGCCGGCACCTAAACAAAATTGACAGCTTCCGGCGCTCGGCGCTGCACATGGCCTGCTCCTTACCCGACGCGAACGTTGGCGCGGTCGTGGCCGAGCTGCTGGACGCGACGGGCGTGGACCCCAACGCCGTGGACTGCTGCAAATACACGCCGCTGCACTGGGCCGTGCTGATGGGCGCGGCCGAGTCCGTGGAGCACTTCATCAGTCGCGCGACGAAGAAACGAATCCGCACCACGGAGGTGGACTGCGAGGGCCGGGCCGTGCTGCAGATCGCCATCGAGAACCGCGAAATCGACCGCAAGGTCGGGCGCGACCTGCAGAAGATGCTGCAGACGGTGCCCGAGGTGAAGGACGAGGTGGAGCGCCTGTACCGCGACCGGCAGGTGTTCGTGGACGCGGCCAACGCCATCCTGGTGGGCGCGGCGCTCATTGCCAGCGTCTCCTTCGGCGGCTGGCTGCAGCCCCCGCAGGGCGACGACCAGGAGATGCGCGTGTTCTGGGCCTTCAACAGCCTCTCCTTCTTCTTCTCGCTGGCCACCGTCACGGCCGGCGCCGGCACCGTGCTGCCCATGTCCGACGTGTACATCGGCCACTCCGTCACCAGCATTCGGCGCTGGCTCGCGCTCACCTCCTGCCTGCTCCTCGTCTCCGTCGTCCTCGTGCTGGGGGCCTTCGTTGCGGCCGGGTTCGCCTCGCTCCCGGCCGTCCCCCGGCTGCACGTCAACATGGTGACCACCACCTGCATCGGCACCGTCGTCTGTTGCGTGATCGGGCTCCTGTTTCTGGAACGCATGTCGAAGATCCGCGCGCTCGCCGATTTCCAGCTGCTCTTTGGCCGCCTGCGGCTGCCCATGAGATCGATCCGCAGGCGCAGCCTAAAGCATATGGATGTCGAGCAGTTGGACGAGGACCTCGAAACTGACCATGACCACTTTGCTACGAGGCAGTGCCGCGAGCGCGCCCGTCGAAAGGACACGGCGGTGCGGAAGTTCATCTCAAGCAGCCTTTGCGATAAGGAGACATCCCTCCTAAACGAGAACATGTTGTTTTACAGTTCGGTCAGCACTTTCGACGAGTGGAACGTGTAAACTTGCTCCTCAGAGCATTGGACATTCTGTTTTTTATCCGTGAGAGATTTGGGATTTGGCAAATATTGTGTTTTACGGACGGACGATTCTTCACACTGCAACTTCCCTTCGATCGAGCAAACTCTTCCGACCATCCTCAGTAGCAGACCGTGTTTCCTGATCATATGCATTGATCATTAAACGTTTGCATCTATATCCTCGACGTCATTGGCGGATCCAAGCGAGTTCTTGACAAAGGCACTTTATACCTTTGCCATTTCTTCAATCCCGTGAAGAGCATTTGTGCGACACACCGTCACGAGTGCGATCTACATTGATTGATCTATGGATAAGTGGCATGTTCTGTAATCGCTTCATTGCTTCCAAGGCAGGCATGGAATGAAGCCCGGATCACTTTCCAGATCATGCTGGGTTGATATTCCTTGCTGTACATGTATCAATTTTGGGGAGTACAGAATTTTGGACTCTTCAAACTTTCGACTCGACTCGGGTACTCACAGCCTCCACTTCTCGATGAGCTTGGCCCGGGTGACCCTTTCTGGAACTGAAAAGTTCACAATTTCAGGGATTCTCTTCGACCTTTCCTACTGGGCTGGAAGATAGCAGTGGGCGAGCTGTCAGCAGACAGGAGGTGTTATCGTAACAGCGTATCTTGCCGAACATCCATATCGGACCCCCAACTCGATGGCCGGTTGGATACAATCATAGTAGTAGTATTTCTATAGGCTTCAAGGCCCAGTGTTCGTACTCCCCGTGTACATGTCCAGCTGGCTAGGTTTCGGTGCAGCAAGAGCCAGAAGCAAGTCCTACTAATTACTGCGAGATGATAGAAATAAGAAAGGAGGAATTGATGAAGTTGCGAATATTATAACAAACATTGGCAGCAACGATGTAGATTCAGAGGAGTGTGGAGGTAAATTTTGTGGAACAGAAATCCCAATCGTGGACGGAACGCGAGGAAACCTAGGGTTAAATTGCTCGGAATGGCTGAGCTCGACGGCCTACTATGGAGCCTTTGCTACCAGTTGCAATGACCAGGTGTATGTAGCATGGGGGAAGGTATATTTTGTGTAGCAAAGATTACGGGGATGGCAATCGTGGATGGAAGGAGAGTATTGTAGTACATGTGTAACAAATTCTTGTCGGTGAAATTTTCTTTAGTGGTTTACATTGTCACACTCTTTAGCAGATTGTACTTATTTTGTACTTGTCTATTCTATCCGTTGCATCTAATCTCATTATACTAAACTTGAGACGTGAAATTTGCAAAGCGGCAGACACCGCTTGCACTTATGTGGGATACTAAGCCGGGCATGCATCTAAATCAGGAGATCACGTTTCCAGTGCAAACAAGCCTAACTTAGATATACAAAAGAAAGCCAAGGAGCCGAACGTAACTTAAATATACAAAAGAAAGCCAGAAGCCGAAACGGAACTGGAACTTTGAAGTTGTGATTATAGAATGATTTCTCAATATGAAATCTTCGAACTTGTATACACAATTTTTAAGTGAGTTGAATGGATTTTTGCAAGAATAAAGGTACAAACCTCTCAAATTACTCTTGCATATATTCAAATTTGGAAGTTGAAAAATTGACAAGATGTTTTTAGAAAAGAGATGCAAGAGAATTCTAGCGTTATGTTTCATACTTCCAAAGCTATCACGTATGTTCAAGCCTAAACAATGTCACAAATGACTAATCTCAATAGTGGAGTAATCCATAATATGAAAGACACTTTTGAACCAAAATTCAAATTGTATGTTGAAATTACAAAGATTCCTCGTATCTCTTACTGTGAAGAGCAATAAATAAAAAACGCCAATCAATCTACAATAACTATATAAAGAATGTTAGAATATCTTGTTAATAAAAAAATAGAGAATGAAGATGTGAACATTGTTGTCACCAAGTAGTTAGTTTACACACTTTATGTTCATAATCCATAATCGTTATCCAAAAAATAAGAAAATCATCAACTTAGAAATCCAAGAAACTAAGTATGTTGATGTGGAATATCCAAAAACTTTCAACAATAGAATTTATGACTATTGTTTCAATTTGAGAGTTGTTGAACATCATCAACATTGTGGAGATTTGAAAACATGAAAATTATACTTAGTACTGAATTGCCGAGATTAACCTGGGTGGTATCAACATGGAACCAGATAAGACAACACAATAGAGTTGTTGCTACTTTCATGAGTTTTCAATTTCTACCTCTCATACATCTAGATGATTGAAGATATCGACGACCAATATCATTGGCTCTGTCTTGGTTTGGTTGGAGAATCTTATTTTTATTTGGCAATTTGTTATTTTGCATCATAGTCCATACATATCTACTCAACATGTTTTTGCAAACAAAATCAATCAGTCCATCGACTCATTAGAGATATTCTCAAATATCAACGCAAAAGAAATGTCCTTCTAGCTAAACACTTCAATGTTATTGTAAACGTTGTGTTCAATTTAATAACTCCTTGGCTTCTTTTCTTCTTTAAGAAATTCAAGATAGTTTGTGATCTAGAATTTCTTGTAATCAATCTATAAATTCTATGACATAAATTTTTCTAAATTTTGAAGACATTCGTAACTTGAAAGTTTGAAATGTAACTGTATCCATCTTTAGTTAGTTAGACCTAAAGTAGAGGTTACTCTAAATGTTGATAAAAACACTTTAGCGTGCACTAGTCACTAGAAAGCGCGATCCGCGCGCTTTGTAAGTAGAGAGTAGGTGTGTTAGTTGACAACGCTATGTCAGCGATCCATGTGCTTGTTAGGTAAGGATTGAACGTGCTTGTTGGTAGCGCCACGTCAGCAATCAGTGTGCTTGTTGGGGTTATCCGCCACGTAATACATCCACTAGTAGTGGGATGGATGGTGGAAATAAGATTTTATCTCATTGTAGTTGTTAGTGAAAGCTATATAAGGGAGAGGAGAACCATTGTTGGGAACTCTCATCTTCAGAGTTTATGTTTACATCTCTGAGTGAATTTCTCTCTACCCTAGTGTTACAGTAACCTCTCGCTTTTCCAACTCTCAATCCAATATATCTTTCTTCTATATAGGTGTTAGCACAATAGATTTTTTATTGTCTTCCTCAATTAACAGCTCTCTTATCTTTACTTTTGATCTTTTTAATCCTCAACATCAATCAAATTATGCACCTCTTTTTTTTATAGTTTCAATGTTAAAGCCATTCACTCCTTTATTCTGTCAATTTATTTTAGCTTCTCCCAAGTTCCGCTTAATTCCTTGTAAAACAAATCTTTGTGCGCTACATTTACAAGATCTATTGACTCGCACCAATTTGCAATTCACAATATTGTTCAAAAACTCTACATCTAAATTCTTTTTGCAACATAGGAATTGGAGTACTAGGACCTTGTAATGGATGATTTGACATTGAGTGCAAGCTAGCATGGATGACATATGTTGTTAGATATTTGAATATCCAAAGTCAAATCAAGAATATACAAAGATATGGTGAAGTTTAAGAGACTATATTTTTTGAGGCAAAAGCAAGATTCCTTGACTAAGAAGCTTTGAAGTATCTTGAGTCTTTTTGAAAACGTTTAGTTCTACCATTTTTAATTTTCTTTGAATTTCAAGTTTTTGAAAGCTTTTTTTGAAAAGCTTTATTTCTTTTGTGAATTTAACTCTATATCATATTGCAAAGCAATACCTAGTTTCTTCTTTGAAGAAAAATTGATGACTCTACTTACAAGATTAGCAAATGGAAAATGTAAGGATTTAGATGATTCGTCCATTTATTTTTTGCAAGTAGATAGGAGATTGTATTGAATTTATTTTTAACAAAGTTTTGAAAGATGTACCATCTATGATTTTACTCCAACTTGATGGTTGCAAAAGAAAACTTAGAAAGAAAACACATGTATTATGAAAAAAATCTAATGTCAATGATAAAGCTTTGTTTTGTGACTTCATTGACTTCAATAAAGCTTTTGACACTGTTTCTTGTAACCTTTTACAAAAAAGATTATAAGACATTGAAATATTGTCTAATCTTTTTGGAGCAGTGTTCACGTTATACAGTTCAATTTGGATCAAATCAAAGTTTTCCGCCTTAAGAAATCTCAAGTACTATCGGGATTCTTCAAAGTTATACTTTCTCTCCTTCTCTATTTGGAATTTTCATAGATGATATAGAAAAGTGATTGCAAGAATGTAAAACTGGAGATGTCAAACTTGAAGACTTTGTCATCAAAGCTTTTTTGTATGCAGATGATATCATATCACTAGCACTTGATGCCATTAGTTTACAGAGATACCTTGACACTTTGGCAAGTTTTTTTATCCAAAATTAGATGAAGTTCAACTTGGACAAATCAAAAATCATTATGATGGGAACTAGATCCAAGTTTTCTTTCTAATACAAAGAATCAAAGTTGGAAGTGAAGTTTTACAAATACTTAGACTTCAATTTCTTCCATGATCTTTCTTCCTTTTCTTCTGTTAGGCACATTGCGTACAAAGCTCTATATTCATTGTTAAGCTAATCTAGAAAAGCTCATCTTGTGTCTTGGAACCTAAGAAAATTTTTATTTAACAGTTTAGTGTTGGTAGTGGTTTTATATGGTATCCAAGTGTGAGATCTTGGTTGTAAGAAGACAAGTTGGAGTTGCTTGGAGATAGTTCAGAAGATATTTTTACTAGAAGAATTGAAGATGAAAAAGAAAACTTCCTATGTCATTCTCCTTGCAAAAATAGTTTGTTTTCCTGTCAAAACTCAAATTCTTGACTTGATCATCACTTACATTACATGGATGAGATTTCTTAATGTTTTGCACCTCACCAAGCTTTGCAAGACACACGCTCCAAAGAGTGGTTATTTGATTCAATTGAAGTGAAATGTGACGGGACTGGATTGGAATTTGCAACCAATGGCACTTTACCAACATCTATAGGAAAGAATTCTTTACATTCTTGGAGCAAGTCTAGCACCAAAGTTGAGTTCATGTTCATCGTATGCTTGTTTATTGTCAACAATGATATCTACTTGCAAGTAATTCTACATTTTTACCTCATATTATTTCACGTCATATAATCGGTTCTCATAATCTAGAGATTGAGGAAAGACGTTGGCATAATATTTATAAAAGTCAACGGTTTTGTAGTTTATGTGAAGTAATAAATGTGAGGATGAAGAACATGTGTTTATTATATTTACTAGATTTATATATATTAGAGTTGCTCATAAAGTTGTTACATATCATTTATATTCTTCACTACCGCATGAATTTGATTGTTATATATAGGGATGTTATTAGTCCTCGTTCTCGAGATGGCTCTTTAGGTTTCTCTTTTGGATGGAGAATGAATTTATTTACCAACTATCATTTGGGAGAGATTATATGTGTAAAGAGGATGTAACTGCAAAGAAAACACGGCAGAAGTAACTAGATTGTAGAAAACCCATACGGGTGGTTAAGAAAACCACAAGACCATGGCTATTAGTAAATAGCAACACAATGTAGGCTTTCTGTACTCTGTTCTATTCTAGTCGATAACCTTTAACTCCACACACACATCTACTATAGCCTGTCTATACTCTGTTCTGGACAACCTTACTTCGACACACATCTACGACAGCCTAGACTCTCTTCTAGTCAACAACCCATGCCCAAACGCATCCATGCCCGTGGATTTTGGGTGACATTATTATTCCATCTGTGGGCACAAGTAATGCTAATGGCAGTGTTGGTCAAAATCCAACCAAGAATTGGTGTAATTTGGGTGACATTATTATTCCATCGGTGGGCACAAGTAATGCTAATGGCAGTGTTGGTCAAAATCCAACCAAGAATTGGTGTAATTTGGGTGACATTATTATTCCATCGGTGGGCACAAGTAATGCTAATGGCAGTGTTGGTCAAAATCCAACCAAGAATTGGTGTAATTTGTATAACATGGGTGGACTTAGGTCGTTGCGGATGGTTATGGTCTGGGTGCAGATTTGAAGTAAAATGTTGGACTCTGCTACTCATCGACTCCTCAATATAGCTAATAACAAGCACACATTTCTAGTCTACAACCTTAACGCAACTCATATCTACTCCTTATCGACTCCTTAATATAGCTAATACCAAGCACAGTCTTCGCGAAACAGGTGCATGGAACTCCGCGAGACGCCAAGGCCTCTATTTGAAACTGTCATTCAAGTTTCTCTTCACAACCAACGAACTGGACTGTTATATGGACTCGGATATAACCCAGATTCTTAATTCCTCGAGAAGAACATGGACGGAAAAATGAAACAATATTGTGACGAACGAAAAGAAAGTCGAGAGTCCAAGTTGCAATTTCAGCAACTTGGAATCTCGACTTTCTCTCAGTGCTATGGAATAATATCAGAAGTAGAAGGTTCGTTACCTGATAAAATTCCCACTTGGCGTTCAGCCGATCTCCTCTAACGAACAAATTTCTCGACATCAGTGTTCTCGAATTATATCCATATATTTGACTGTTGAAGGACCACTGTCGAAGAGAAATCCACAAGGCACGTGGGAGTCGAGAAGGTACAGAGACACACGTACGAAGTGTAATAATAAGCCTTACTGAAGCAACTTTTGGAAAAAAATTCGCCCGTGCAATCAATGTATAAAATGTTTCCTGCCCCATGGAGCAGGGTTTACTGATGATCGATGAACCACTTGCGGATCAAGTGCAAGTTGCGGGACAACGAAGCGAACTCGCACATGATGCAATAGCGCGGTCGCGCCCGGTCTGAATTCTCTCTGCGGATCGGATCGTCGATGACTTAGAAGAAAAGGCAATCTCGTTAGTTAGAGCATATGCGGTAGTGGATGACTGATTGAAGATTGATTTGCCGTGGCCAGTCACCAACTCGTGCTTCGGTTCGGGGGATCCACCGGAAGAATCTACAACACACACGCCGTGGAGTTCCTTCATGGAGTAGACTGCACAGAGATCCACATCCATGATTTACTTTGAGGGCCACATACAATCCGTCTGGCACAGCGGAGAAATGATCGCCTTTCGCGAGTCGGGATGCCGAAAGCGATTACGATTGCTCTGGGAGAGTGGATCAGCAAAATTCAACTGCATCCCCTCCTTGACTGGAAGAAGTCGAAAGAAGCGGGCATGCGTACTCCAACGCATGCCCGTCTGTACACCTCGGTGGACAGACTCCCGAATGGAGATGAAAGAGAGAAGACTTCGTAAGATAATCTTCAGCTCGACGAGTTTCAGATCAAGGGGCGTCTCTCGGTGTGTTATTTTTATCGACGAAGGTATTCGAGAAATATTCAGCTGGCTGGTGGCAACGCAGCCCCAGCGCAGCACAGCACAACCGAAAGCATGCTCGGCTGAATCCAGCGTGCCGATCGCTCGTACGAAAACGAAAACGGGAATGCCAATGCCAATGCCGATGGGGATGCCGTGACTCGTAGGCCGCAGGCAGAGATACAGATAGATATCTGACGCACCACTGGCTAGCGCTACGAGGGGGAAGTGAGCGTGCCCTGTTGCGGGCGGGCTGGCTGGCGAGGGTGGACTTCACTGCTCGTCCTGCTCGCTGCCTAGCGGCATGCACGAGAATCTCCCACATTATGGCTGCTCATAATGGTTGCCCCTTTTCCCCTTCTTCTTTCCAGTACACTCTCCGAAGATCGGCGTTGCCCTGGGCCTTCCTCCACTCGCCCCGCCCAATTCACTCCTAGCCTAGCTCGGAGCTGTCGAGTCCACTCGAGCAGACGGAGTTTGTTCCGAGCGGGCCTTCAAAGCAGATCAATGACGTCCTTTACAGTCTGACCTTATCCTCGAGAGCTGAGATTTCTTCCAAGACATGAATGTGAACATGGACGGGAAAATGGCGTCAATCATGAAGAACACAAAGTTTCCATAATCCGTGAAAAAGCAGATGATAGAGCTGCTCACCCGTCCAAACCATCCTCCGAATTTGTTACAGAAGCGAGAAGCGAGCACTGGCTCATTCATTCTGTGGGGAGGCCCCTGCGATCGATCACGCAGAGTCACAAGCACGTGTGGGAGGTCCCAACGGGAGACCTGTCGTGGGATGGTAAGCGGAAGACGACATGCAGCGAGAAAGGCAATATTTTCCAGGCTCGAAATGATTGAGAATATCTCTCGTTGGGTTAAGCGGGATCTACTGGATGGGGAATGTGGAGCCCAATGACGACCGGACGTGTAGTGCCATGCAGAGCACATTCTGAGCTCGATGTTGGTTCCGGCTGGTGGCTGAAATGCGGACCTGTGGTTGAAGATAAGTAGTGAGCTGTGAGCTGTGAGATGTGAGCATCAGGAGCTTCTGGATGACTACCATGGCACATTCATTTCAGGCGGCTGGCTCTGGCTTCAGGTAAGGCACATTTCTCCCTAGCGAAAGAACTTTCTCGTCAGGAATTTCTCTGCTCTTCTTCCTTTCTTCCTTTCTCCCTTTCGATGCTTTTGAGCTGCGTAGACTGCAAGTAGGTACGGAGGATTTGTTGGGTCCACAAGAGGAAAATGCTGGTCCCGGCCCCACGGAGAGAACCTTCCGGCTCCTTGGCATCGTCGATCGACTGCGGGTCCCGCCTCGCTCGCAACTGTTTGCAAGCTTTCATCTTTATCGACGCAATCAGAGTGCCGAGGAGGGCTTTGTGTCGATTGTTTCGCAGGTGGGGCCTGAAAGCTTGTGCCAGTTGTTGCCACTGCACAGATGATGCTCGCGAACTATTGTGGGACAACGTCGGCACCGGACGTCGTAGCTTTGTCGCTCCGCCCTGAATATGTAGAGTACAGGAGACTTGTCAGAGCCAAGCTCCTGATCTCCTTTTCCGCTTGGACTCGGGGGTTTCAGAGAGACGCCATTTTGTCCTGCTTTGTTGTGCTGCTCAGAGCCTGGTGAAGGTACTTGCCTGCAGTTCATTATCAATTTCAGTCTTGTTCCTCTGGATCTCAGTCCACAAAACTTTTTTGAGGTCAAGCTTGAACTCCAAAACCACCCACTCCTGTTCGAATTGCTGCAGTTTTCTGAATGGAACTCATGCACAGCCTTCTGCCGTCACTCACTTAGCGCAGAGTGTGATGGTAAGTGATGTGGTTGGAGATCTCGAGAAGATTTTTCTACTGAGGGGCTATCTAATAATCTACAAGAATCATGTCGAAGAATTCAGATTCATCTCATGCCTGGAGCCGTGCGATGAGGCCCATCCTTGCTACTACTTCTAACCATCGTCTTTGTTTTTCACAGAGTCATTCTTGTAGGAGATTTTGATTGAGGGCTTGTCTCTGTACGTGCTAACTTACGTCTAGGGCTGTGGTCGGGTTTAGACCTGCTCTACTGGCATGAGGTATTCAACAAAACTCATGATATCTTGGATACATCGTGTCCAGGTTGGGCCCCATAGTACTTCTCTTCTTCTACTTCCATTGGTTCATCTCAAAATCCTCTTCGCTTTACTGTCAACGACAGATGTCCAAACATACGATGATCCTTCTGATGTCTACAATATTAATTCTACTTCGTTAAAATCTTAGCACCATTCTAATTTTCAGAGTTTGTTCATATATAAGAAGACTGCAGCCTCAATAAATCTTTCATGGAAAAGTGGGGGTCTCAGCTTCCTCCGTACCGTGTCCCATCTCTGTACATGCGTTATGAAAACGACCTTTCACATCGCTACTCCGGTAAATATGTTTGAAGTGCCCAGCTGTCAGTAATGCTTATCATCAGCTTGCTACCTGCAGGTACGTGAGTGTGCGAGTAACAAATATACAGGAAGGGAGTTAAAGCTCTGTTGTGTATATTGGTACTGAAACCGTACAGGTTCGTAGAAAGTGGAGAACGACAATCAGGAAAATATCAAACTCCAGATAGAAGTGATTACTCATGATCTTTCACCGACCTTGTTCCACAGTCTCGTGGACCGATCGGAGTGCAGAATGCATCGACCGAGTGTGAGATGATTTCTGTAGTCAGAGAGATCTGGATAACACCTTCCAGATCTCTCTCCTCTGTATGTTTGAAGGGACGGGAAACCCTTGATAATCCAGTAAGTTAATACTTACTGAAGAGGCTCTGTCTGTTCATCCACTGGCCTTTCCTAATAATGGTCGTCCACCTACACCGATCAGAAGCAAATGGATTTCAGAAAGGCCGATTCCCAACAGTTCCAGGAGGACTCCATTGTGGACTCGACCCCTGACAGTCTTGAGGCGAATCAAACGAGCCGTGGCGACAGAGCCTGGCGAGGAGTTCTTAGGATCATTGGAACAAGACATCCAGGCATCCTTCGTTGATATGGTTAATGGGGTCTTTTGCACCTGAATCAATTTGTCACGATTGCACCACGGCTGTGCGTTCTCTTCCAAAGAACTGACATGCACACATCAAGTGACTGCACAGCTGATGCCCACTCGGTTATGTGGAGCAGATAAATTTGAAGCACTGGGTAGTTAGGAGGTGCAAATGCATCCCAAAGAAAGGCCGATTCCCAACAGTTCCAGGAGGACTCCATTGTGGACTCGACCCCTGACAGTCTTGAGGCGAATCAAACGAGCCGTGGCGACAGAGCCTGGCGAGGAGTTCTTAGGATCATTGGAACAAGACATCCAGGCATCCTTCGTTGATATGGTTAATGGGGTCTTTTGCACCTGAATCAATTTGTCACGATTGCACCACGGCTGTGCGTTCTCTTCCAAAGAACTGACATGCACACATCAAGTGACTGCACAGCTGATGCCCACTCGGTTATGTGGAGCAGATAAATTTGAAGCACTGGGTAGTTAGGAGGTGCAAATGCATCCCTGTGCTGCCGATGCATGTTCGGAATTGACTCTTGGTCTTGCTCCACTGACTCTTGAAATTGTCCTGAAGAGGATGAGGATACAAAGTGATATTACGAGACAAGTATTTCGTACGTTCAGATCCATCAGACTGCTTCTCAGGTTTCTGTTAGGACAACTTTGTCAGCCGTGTATGTCATTCAAGTAGATGAAGACATAAGGCATACTTCTTCATCAATAGGTGAAACTGAACTTACGATGGAACTCCCATTACAGAGATCTTCGACTTTCAGGGTCAGAAAGATCACATCAGAGTTGACTACAGACAGAACTGTAGTCCATCTCTTCTGAAATTGTGCTTATGAACGTACAAGGAAAGGTTAAAAGCTCGATCAGTCAGAGTAGGTCCGGCGTCCTCCATGCATGTGTCAGAAACCAGAGGTCAAGAGTGAACATTTTGAGGGGTTTCGAAGGCAAATCTATGTCCCTAGAGACGAAATTAAGTCGAAGTTCGAGTAAAGATCAGGTCTTACACCGTCATCTGTGTCCTCAACAGTTAAATTTCCAACTTGTTCTACGACTTCAGAACCCGCGGTTGTCGGTCCGAGACTGAAGCAGCGCTTGTAAGATGATTGTCAATATGATGACCCTTTCACGTGGCGGATTGGAGAAAGATGGGAATGTAGTCTTCCGGACTAAAATTAGACATCCGTCGAGAGGTTTACAGCTCTGCGCTCATGCCTCTGATCCGATGGAATTGATACTTTCTTTCAGATATCAGAAGGTACAAGTAATCCGAGATTTTTTTCTCTGCAGGCAATACTGCTCCCTTCAGTGTCCTGCTGTGATCCAGTTTCTCGCCTCCTTCAGTTAACTCGCTGCGGCTTTCACGAGTAATTGGGTGATTTCGACCGATCATGATATTTCGACAGTAACGAAGCGGAGAAAGGACAAACCTTGAACTCAACGATTCAGGTGAAATGCTCTGCAGCAGTTAAAATTCTGCCATAATGCTGAAAAAGCATCAGGACCATTGGAAGGGCGTCTTGTTTCGGAGCTCAGTGGTGACACTGATATGTCCAATGTTCCTCAGAGCATGTGGATCTCATGCTCCAGATTTGTGTTCTTGCTTGCTTCTTGGGAACTAGCCACTACTGTCACGAAGTTGCTCAGATAGCCCGAATCAGGGAAACAAGATCGACCTCAAATGGATCCGGAAGCAGCAAGCCGCAAGCAGCAGAGTTTTTGGAGAAGTTCAGAAGATGTCTGCTACATGGCGCGAGATTGGTAACAAGGCTGCTGCTTCGGGGGAAGGTATGAGAAGGTATGAGGACGTGCATGAGAGTATACTGTCTGTCAGTCGGGAAGATCGTCGTTTGTCTCTCCTGGGTGCAGCAAAATGCAAGGAACCGAGTTGTCATGCATACAAATGTCGGAGAAAAACAGCCCATGATGTTGCAAAGATCCAGCAGAATCGTACTCTCAGATCCTTTGCAACCAGTCTACCGAGAGAATGACAAAGTAGCAGCAGAGGTGTTAGGATGCTTACTCGTCAGGACAAGTAACTGCTCTGTCCATCTGTCTGACAGTCTGTTCTCTTCATGTAATCCGTCTCGCCACAGTGGAGATCCTCTGACACAACTACATGGACTTCAGTTTCGAACAGATGCTAATTATTGTAGAGCTGCGTTGACAATATGTCGGGACTGCGCAATTGGACGCACTTCCTTCCCGTCACTCATTGCAGTCCTGAGTGTACTCTGTACACACTGTCCAGACGTTTATCCAACAACATTTGCTCGCCCTGAGCTGCGTCTGTGACCTTCCGAGCTGAGCGTAAGGTGTAAGAAATTATGTGCATTTCCAGCATTCAGTGCCTATTTTGATGGAAAGTTGTGAGTTCGGGGAGTACTCGTCTATGTGAAATGTGGCTCTATCTCCTGGACATGCTCTTGTCTCTCTCTAGTGCCTCCTGCCATGACAATAAAGCATCTCTGCTTCTAATTTCGGAACTGTGCTTCACTGTACTGCACTGGATGGGGCATCATGCACGGCCAAATCCTCCTTATCATCACCGGAAAGCTTAACGCGATGCCACCGAAACACGACCGTAAGCATCGATCGTATATGCTCTCTCTCGCGTCTTCAGAGTCCATTGGATTCCATCCAAAATCAGTCACGTTTGTGAAGTCTATGTACACGAGACCCACAAATGGTTCGAGAAAAGGATCTGGGGAATCACACTTAATCGGTTTGCGCTTCTCTTTGCCGGCTGTCGTGGGAGTGGGTGTACCAGCTCCTCGACCAAATGCGCAGACTCGACACGAGACCTCCCAAGGTCGTGCAACAACTCTATCATTATTCGAGGGTCGCTCACAAATTCTTAAAACATTTATGACGTCGGGTCCTCGATGTGCCGTACAATGTGAGGCAGGCGCCGAGTCCTCCGATGCATTCTAGCGCTGATGAAACCCACGCGGACTGCATTTG